GCACAACTGGCATAAAATGAGTCTTTTCCAAACTGAGTGGAAATATGTAAGTCAGACTGAACTGGGTCTGAGACAGAGCAAATCAAGATCATATTGTCTCTGTGCTTCTCAGTCTAATGTCTTTTCTTCCTGTTTACCTCTTCCTATCTCCTTTAAGGTTGGTTCAGAAGTGTCATAAACATCATCTCTCCACTTTTCTGGTATTATTCTGGACAGAGGGTTGGAGCATATCAAATACAGATATTGGCAAGTGGTAACAGATTTATGGCCCTTCTGTCCAAGGTCTGGATAGCAGCCAGACCTTCAGTAGTCTCAGCCATCTGGAGCTGAAATGATAAATCCAGAAATGATAAAAAATGTTCTCTGGGTAACAGATATTTTTCATAAAATGCAGGCACTAAAGTCATTGCACTTTATTTCACAGAACAGATGATCTGCCCTTAGGCAAGACTACTGAGTATAAAATTGGGCAGTAGATCAAAATAGGGACATAATGATATAACAAATAATGACAACAGAAAGAGATAGGAAGAAAACATTTAATAGCAGGGCTTGCTATGGCCATTTAATATAGGATCAGAGGTTTAGTAATTTGCCTGTGGTCATCCAACTAGTAAATGGAATTGCCTGGATTTGGATTCAGTACCGTCTAATCCCCTCAGATCATTCCACTGTCCACTGAACCATCAAGAGGAGGGTCCATGTTAAGTCATTTGAGAAGTATGTTTATCAAGTATGATCATTGCATGGGAGCAGGGTTCAAATTTGATTTTGTAGCAATTTAGGGTTTTTGAGCAGGGGAATGACTTGGTATAAGCCATTATTTTCAGAATATTAATCTGAGAGTTAATCTGCAAAATTCAATGGAGTAGTGAAAATGTGAGATGGAAGGAGACCATTTAGGACGAATTAGAATGAAGCAGGAGTGGGATAATAAATGATTTGGAAGGCAATGAAAATAAAGTCCTTGGGAAAGATTTTTGAATCCTGGTGATAGTGCCATTTTTAAGAGGATCAAAGGATATGAGAGTCACTGAGAAGCAACTTTGAGTTCAACCCCTTCATTTAGAGAAGTGAGGAAATGGAAGCCCTGAGGTAGGAAGCACCTTGCCAAGGTCATAGAGCTAGGTAAGCCCTCTTACAACTCCTAATGCAGCCTTTTACCCAACTTCATGCTTCTGTTCTTAGTGTGGCTGTATTCCTCAACTACTAAAATAGAATTACCTGGCATGTAGTTTTAAAGTTGGTGCTCTCTAGGCCGGGCATGGTGGCTCACGCCTGTAATCCTAGCACTCTGGGAGGCCGAGGCGGGCAGATTGCTCGAGGTCAGGAGTTCGAAACCAGCCTAAGCAAGAGCGAGACCCCTGTCTCTACTGTAAATAGAAAGAAATTAATTGGGTAACTAATATATATAGAAAAAATTAGTCGGGCATGGTGGTACATGCCTGTAGTCCCAGCCACTTGGGAGGTTGAGGCAGGAGGATCACTTGAGCCCAGGAGTTTGAGGTTGCTGTGAGCGAAGCTGACACCATGGCACTCACTCTAGCCTGGGCAACAAAGCAAGACTGTCTCCAAAAAAAAAAAGTTGGTGCTCTCTAGTTTATACCCCTGATCTATTTGCTGCCCTCACAGCCACTTAGACATCACAGGATATGTCTGTGTCACAGTGTCTTCACTGCCTACTGGCTCCACAACTTAAAGGCTCATCTCATTAAATTTATCACAGATTTTCCCTTGAGGCCTATCTTTTTATTGTGGTATTCCCACCCTAGAATGTCTTGCTGTCTTGGATTTGGAATATTACTTACTATAATTATGTACGTGGATTTATCTCCATTGAATTTTTTTGTTTTGTTTTGTTTTTTAGACAGAGTCTCGCTCTCTTGCCTGGGCTAGGTGCCGTGGTGTCAGAGAGCCATGGCGTCAGCCTAGTTTACAGCAACCTTGAACTCCTGGGCTCAAGCAATCCTACCTCAGCCTCCTGAATTCTGGGATTACAGGCACATGCCATCATGCCCGGCTAATTTTTTCTATTTTTAGTTGTTTGGCTAATTTCTTTCTATTTTTAGTAGAGACAGGGTCTTGCTCTTGCTCTTGCTCAGGCTGGTCTCGAACTCCTGAGCTCTAGCAATCCTCCCGCCTTGGACTCCCAGAGTAGAGTGCTAGGATTACAGGTGTGAGCCACCATTCCTGGCATCTCCATTGAATTTTTAAGGAGTGCCTCTGTGGGAGGCAGAGTCCGTGTGGGACAGCTATTCACATAGACTGTGGTGGCCATTACATGGAAGGGAATCTTCCTTTAAAGAGATGTTCCCATTGACCCACTTTCAAGACTGTATGAGTCAGAGTGTCTTCTTTTATTCTTGGAATCTTCTTTCGTGTTTTTAAACTCATAGAATGACAGATTGGCAGGGACCTTGAACATCATCTTAACCAGCTCCCTTATTTTATAGATTTAAAAACCATGACCCTAGGAAGTTGGAACTTTTCCATGGTCATAGTGAGTTAGTAATGGCAAAAGAGGGTTGCTTGACCTTTCAACCAGTTTCCTCATTTATGAAATGGAGGTGACTCCAGCTTTGTCTCCCTCAGGGTGTTTTAATGAGGATTAGTGAGATAAAATTTGTGAAAGCTATATGCAAAATGAAAGTATCATCATCAAGGCTTCTAAGTGAAGGCAAAGCTGTACTCTTTGAAATAGAATCAGGACATGGGACATTAGAGTAGGAGTAGTGATTGTTGTAAGACTTTCTTTCCACTAGATTATTTCTTGCTGGCAGAGATTTTAGAGGTTAGTCCAACTCCTAATTTAATATTTCACATATAGGAAAATTGAGATTGCATAGCTAGTTATTAGCAGAGCCCAAACTCAAAATGACCAGAATTCATCCCAACCCTTTCGGTCTACCTTGTGTAGCACAGCACTTTGTACTTATTAGTATAAGCTGTGTCTGCAATCTAGTGTGCAGGCACAAGAGCAGTTACAGCACAGTGAGATTTATGCTACCAGGGAGAAACATTTAGGGTAAAATGAGAGCAGAGTTAAGGAATATCCCTTACCTTCAGCATGGTAGTTCTTTACGGGGTTCTGTGATTTGCCCCAGTGGGGTGTGGAGCAACTTCTTTGGAGTCATTGTCTAAAATCAGTAGGCATTCCTGTGTATTTATATCTGAGGTTAATAAGCACACTTTTTGGTTTCTCCCTTTGTCTAAGCTGTTCTTGTCATTTTGGAAGTGGCATAATGCTCAGGGAAAGTACTTAGGCCAAGGTCCTTTCTATTGTCACGGATTTCATATGTTATCAGTCACTGTGGCTGGGGAGTTGCTAGGCCAGAGGAAGGGCAGGGATTCCTGCCATGAATGCATGTACTGCAGTATAGACACCAGGAATGAGTCTTGCTTGTGTCATTGTCCTCTCAACTTCCAGCTTTGTAGAGAAGGTAGTAGTCTGACATTGTGTTTATCCTCACCTTGTCTTATACCAGATACCATCTTGTTTCCCCTTCCTGTAATTGCATGCAATGCACCTTTATCTGTGAAATGTGTTTTACCTTGAAAACATTTGAAATCTTCTGAACAAAAGGATCAAAACAATACTTTTCTTTCTTTTTGTTTTTATGCAATAGAAAATGCCCCAAAAACAACAGAGGACGTCGACAGAAGCAAAACCTAGGTCATTTTACTTCAGATACGTCATCCAGAATGGTTTAAACTGATGACTTTTATATGTACACTGACCATGTGATGTACATTTATTATGTCTTTTTTTAAAGAATGGAAATATTTATTTCAGAGGCCTTATTTTTGGACATTTTTAGTGTAGTACTGTTGGCTTGTATTTAGAATATTCAGCTACAACAGTTTTGGACTGTTTAGTAGTCTTTGTTTTATGTTTTTAAATACAGAAATTGATTTCACAAATTTGTACCACATGTTAATTCTAAGACTTGTTCTTTACCCATGGAATGTAATATTTTTGCAAAAATGGACCACTTCACAAATGGTTATAAAATCATACCCACTTCTTCCACAATGACCACAGCAAATGACCAAGCATGAACTAAAGGTAAAGATGTTTACAGATTACTTTTCTTACAAAAAAATCTAGAAGACACTGTGTTTAAATAGATATTTAAATGTTTTTGAGATTTAGTAACTGATTTTTTAGACACTGCCTATCGCATGAATTGTAAAGCTGTGTGTGTTAGATGTAAAATATTTATAAGATGTATGGATTGGAATTTGATTATTCCTCTCTTTGACAAAATATTCTAATAATTTGAAAAGTATCTGGTAGTAATGATGGAACAAATTACTGAAAAGTAGATTTAGATATTGTGAAAATAGGCTGTTTAATAAACAGATTGGAATAAAGCCTACTCTATCAGTTAAACTACTTTAATACACATTCATTTTTAAAGAAAATATTTGTTTTAACATAAATAAACAAATCATAACAGTGTTTGTGAATAAAATGCAAAAATAACTGTTAATGACTGGTGCTCTTAAAGGGAGCTTAAAAATTATCTAAGACCTCTATCCAAATTTGTCCTGTAGTAATAGCTATATTAATAGATTGTTGGTGTTTAAAGATCTGAAGTGTGAGTAGAATGTATTCAGCTGTTTAACATGTAGTTTAGATATTCAAAAGTATGCATGTAGAATTTAAAGAATATGTTAAAAATTAAATATTAATTTTAATATTTGGTTTGGAAAAGCATGTTATAATATAATGTTTTCACTATATGGCCTCTGTTTTGGTGTGTTTATTTACTGCATTCTTTGATACTGAGGTATTAGTACATTTAATATGTGAAATTAGTAGAAAAAGCAGATTTCAGTTTAAAATTCTCTGCTTTTACAAGTACTGCTGGAAATTATCTAAAGGCAAAAGCTTCACTCAACATTTGGAGTTTGCTTTTTTGGTCATTTGGCCTCTAGCCTTAACATTAGTAATATTAGTATATAGGAGCTAATATTAGTAACATAGGGGCTTTAGTGAACTTTTTTAAAAAAGCTTTCCTCTTCTACCCACACAATCTTATTTGAGTCCCTTAGTCAGTCAGCAAGCATGTTTGGAACAGTCCCCAGTGCTTTGCAAGGGTTCATATTGCAGAACAGTCACGTATGGGTATTTGTAGTTATAAATACTTGACCAGTCTCCAGGGGTGGGGTTTCCAACCCTTTAAACAACCTCGTTGCCTGTTATCAAGCTGACTTTTTGCTCTAAGTGTCAGAATTGATTGTGATTAGGACATCTTTTGCTGAGAAATAAATAAAATGGAACACAATGGATCTGCTTCAAATGCTGATAAAATCCATCAGAATCGCTTATCGGGTGTTACAGAAGATGAGGACCAAGACGCTGCTCTTACCATTGTGACTGTGCTGGACAAAGTGGCGTCCATTGTGGACAGTGTCCAGGCAAGCCAGAAGAGAATAGAAGAGAGACACAGGGAAATGGAAAATGCCATAAAATCTGTCCAGATTGACCTGTTGAAGCTTTCACAGTCACATAGTAATACAGGCCATATCATTAACAAGTTGTTTGAGAAAACCCGAAAAGTGAGTGCTCACATTAAAGACGTGAAGGCCCGCGTGGAGAAGCAGCAAACTCATGTTAAAAAAGTTGAAGTCAAGCAAGAGGAAATAATGAAGAAAAACAAATTCCGCGTGGTAATATTCCAGGTAAGTTTACACTTGTATTCAGCTTGGTTATAACAATCTCCTGTTTCTTTTAACTGCCAACAGGTCATATCAGAGGTCTCCAGAGTCACATCTTAACTATTGTATATATTAATGTGTTGGAATTCTGTATCAGCAGAGATTTCAGGATAAAACCACTTGCATGTTAACTAATGTACTATCATATCAGTATTTTGAGTTTCTCAACCGTTTCATGTAATATGAGCTGTGGCTCATAGCTTAGGCTATTTCTTGTGTTTGAAACTTAATATTGGTAAGACTCTTTCAGCATATCAGCCTTATTAGCATGATGCCCTCCCATAGACTTTTGAAAATGTTAGAACTGGGAGAGACCTAAGAAGCCTCTACTTTAAAACACCTCTTTGTTATTTAAAAGAAGAAACTGAGAACTAGTAGCTCCATAATATGGTTTTTTCCCTAATCAAGGAGATCCTAGAAAGTCCCAAACAGTTAAATATGAAGTTTTCAGAATATGACTTGTATATTGGAATTTTTACATCTAAGTCACAATAATAAGAAAAGCTACCTTTTCCTTGATCAGACAGTTGTTCTTATTTTTCTTGTTATTATAGTAATACAAATATAAGAGTCACATAAATAATTCCTTATATTTGATTATAAAGTCCTTAGCTGGTTTTTGTGTGGCATTATGTATTCAGTTAAGTTCCCATATTACTCTGCTCTTAACACTCATATTTTAGGAAATAGGAACATATCTATGGTAAATGTATAATATCTACAATATATTTTTAAAACAATAACAAATCAAAAGGAAAAGTTGAACACTCCTTGCAGTAGAAAAATGGGAAACTATCATTATAAGGTAGTTTACAAAAGACAAATAAGAACAGGATTCCACTTTCCCCTTTTTTAAATATTGGCATTTATTAAAACATATACCCAGAGTTTAAGGGTTGGAAAAAATAAGCACTTTCATATTCTGCTGTTAGAAAGATTAACGGTACAACATTTCTGGAAGACAATTTAGGTAGTATGTATTAAGAACTTAAAAAATTCACAAACTTTTTGGCCCCCAAATTTCATATCAAAGAATTTGTTCTCAGCATAGAATCAGGAATGTGTATAGGGATGTTCACTGGTGCATATATAAAGTGTTATCACAACTATATTTTTAAAATTGAAGCCTATGTGCATTGGAAAAAACCCTAGAAGAATAAAACAAGTGAAATAGGAACACAGTTGGATTATGTGGGAGATATTTGAAAAATACTAGGGATGTGGCCCATAATTCCCCACAGCATTCTTTACACATTAGGCAATTTTCCATAGCCCTCTGTTGACTGATAAAGTTACACTGTGATGGTAGAGTGGTATTTTGGATCTGTTTTTAAGAGCTGGTAGGTTATTTAGGAAAAAGGGAGGAGAGAGAAGAGTTGCTTATTTCAAAGAAATAGGATGGATTATGCTATTCAAAGTCCTTTACTATTTCCCTTTCTTTTCAGGTACCTGGAAACCCTTCCCTAGGCTTAAAAATTAGAAAAAAATGAGTCACCTTATTTGCAGAGGCCAGTTCTACTGTTAGTGTATGTAGTGGGGATCTAGACTTGGCCCTGGAGAATGTAGAATCCATTCTTTGATTCACCTTCTAAGGGCATTAGCAGTAGTGGGTATATCTCACCATCCACTTGCATGGGGCATGTGCAGGAAACATACTTGGCATCCAACACTTCTAAGAACCTTTGTGCAAAGCAGTGGACTGTGCCAATTAATATTTACAAAGGTTAGAACAAAGAAGCTTCTGAATAGTTCCCATTGACATAATTTTTTTTTAATTAAGATATTTGCATATTTTCCTATTTAGTCCCTGTAACTTACTGCTAAATAACTTACTGCTTCCTTTCTTTGAGCCCCTGTAATTATTTAAAGCAACCAAGAAGCGATAGTTCAGGTCAGATCTCTTCTTGTAAGAAATAATGTCATGAAGATTCTGTGAAATTAAGTTGTTTAGAGTAAGCAGCAGTTTGTCAAAAAGCAATTGCTATCTTTTTTTTTTTTTTTTTTTTTGAGACAGAGTCTCACTTTGTTGTCCAGGCTAGAGTGAGTGCCGTGGCGTCAGCCTAGCTCACAGCAACCTCAAACTCCTGGGCTCGAGTGATCCTTCTGCCTCAGCCTCCCGAGTAGCTGGGACTACAGGCATGCGCCACTATGCCCGGCTAATTTTTTTTTATATATATATCAGTTGGCCAATTAATTTCTTTCTGTTTATAGTAGAGACGGGATCTCGCTCTTGCTCAGGCTGGTTTTGAACTCCTGACCTTGAGCAATCCGCCCGCCTCGGCCTCCCAAGAGCTAGGATTACAGGCGTGAGCCACAGCGCCCGGCCTTAAAAAAAAAAGCAATTGCTATCTTTTATAATGGGAGAGCTTGTAGAGAAAGATAAATGGACATAGAAGTCTGATTCAAAGATCCATTAGATGTTAGAATGCTATATACAATATCCACATGATTATTCTTAGCAATTACAATTAGTTATAATTAGTTCTCATAGATAAGTGGTTATATTGAGATTGCCCCTTTTACTAAAATTAACAATTGCTACTGAGCAATTCAGCCACAGTAAAAATGATCTATTTCTTATACAAGTATGGTTTCTCTTTGAACATACTTTCACCTTGATGATCCCTCTCATCATGCAAGCCAGGAATCTTACCATATCTTCTAGTAATTTTGGTTAATAACACATGCTTGTGGTTATGAAATAAAATATTTGGCCATTCCCTAAATGGTAAGTCCCAGATTTTTATATATTTAAAATTCCCCTAGCCATGTTACTTTGGCATTCAATCAAGTCAACAATATTTATTCTGTTATAAAAAGGTGTTTTTTAACCTAGACTTTCACATTAAAAGATATAATTGGAAGTCAACTATAATTCAACCTTATAATCTTCAATTATTATTTCAGTCTATTCACTATTAACTCATGATGTCTCTGACTCATCAGACTTACAACAAATAGAGCCACATAACAAGTACTTTTTTGGACTCTACCTCTGTTTTGTTTTGTTTTAAAGCCTGATTTTGTATTATTTGCTATATAGTTAGAGAAGGATATGTGATTTCCTGAGTCATGCTATATCATTTCTTCACAGCAAGATTGTGAGAGTTTTTTCCCCCTACCAAGCAGTAATTACTCTTTGGCTCTTTCCTTTTCTAATTATACATTCTCAGGCCATACCAACCCACACTATGTTGCTGAAGCTACTCCCTGCAGCAGGTGTCAGGAAAGGAGAGGAATAATTTCGCTGCTTCTGACTGATTCATCAGAGAGTTATGAGACGCCCACCCTTGCCTTATTTAGCTCCTAGACGCTCTAATCCTGTAGCCAAAGAATTTGATTTTAAATAGGTATCCAAAGAAATACTGTGCCAGGGATACCTTCTTGACTATCTGGCTGATTTTGAAATATGTATGAATATGTTTCTTATATATTTATTACATTTTTTGATTGAATAGATTTAATCTGGATCTCATATGAAAGACACGATTTCTTTTAGAAATTTTAACTTAGTTCAGTTAAAAATCTCATGATCTTTCAAGTTTTACCTGTTTTAGAAATAATCCTAGAATAGTCAGTTGGGTTCCTGAGCTGCTTTGGGCTGGGCTGGCTCTCATGGTCTCTAGTGTCTGTCATATTCCCAAATCTAATTCTCATCCTTATTCTTTGATACAATTGACACAGTGGGTCCTCCTCCTCTTCCTGAAACTTCTTCCTCCTTGGTGTTTGGGGGTGCTGTTCTCTTTTGGATTTCATCCTGCCTCAGTACCTGATATTTCTCCTTTTTTGGTTTTTCTCATCTGTTCCTTATCTATAGGTCCAAAATCCATGATCTATATTCAAAATCCAACAATTTCTAAAAATAATTTTTTCATAACTTATGTGACAGCAAGACCCTAGCTTAACCTGAACTCATTCAGTGGGAAAACCGGACATGAAGGAGCATGAGGCTATATATAGTCTTTATATCCCACCTTAGTGTGAATATTCATATTTTTTTGCCACAGAAATGTTTCTTCCCAAGATCTCACTGGGAATGTTATATAATAGTTTTCCAAAATCTAAAATATTCCGAATTCTAGTTTTTTTTTTTTTATATATTTTTTTTTTCTTGTGGTTTAAAGGCTGGTTTATATTCCGAATTCTGAAACACACCTTGGCCCCAAGTAGTTTGGAATAAAACAGAGCGTGGACCCATTCTCTCAGTCTCTTGGCAATCTCTTTCTTCCGGTCTCATGACTTTTGATTCCATCTTTACATCAGTGACTCCTCAGTTTTTATGTCTAGCCCAGCCCTCTCTTTCGAAGACTCATCTACTTAGCTGCCTACTCTGCACCTTTGCTCACCTGTCCAGTGGGCCTCTCAGAGACAGCGTGTTCAGATCCCACCTTTCCCCTGCAGTCTTCATCTCCTGCCATCTCCCCATCTCAGTTAATGGCAGATCTGTCCTTCCTTTGTCCAGGCCATGTACTAGAGAATCACCCTTGACATACTAACCCTCCACCCCCAAGTCTAGCAGCAAATCCTGTTGGCTCCTACCTTCATAGCAGATCCAGAATCAGAGCACTTCTCACCCCCACCTCTGCCAACACCCTTAGTCAGCTCTCACCTGCCTCATCTCAGTGCTGTCCACCTGCTCTCCCTGCTTCTTGTCTTGCTCTACAGCCTGTTTTTAACAGAGTGATCCTTTTTTTTTTTTTTTTTGAGACAGAGTCTCACTTTGTTGCCCAGGCTAGGGTGAGTGCCATGGTGTCAGCCTAGCTCACAGCATCCTCAAACTCCTGGGCTCAAGCAATCCTCCTGCCTCAGCCTCCCAAGTAGCTGGGACTACAGGCATGTGCCACCATGCCCGGCTGATTTTTTCTATATATATTAGTTGGCCAATTAATTTCTTTCTATTTATAGTAGAGACAGAGTCTCGCTCTTGCTCAGGCTGGTTTCGAACTCCTGACCTCGAGCAATCCGCCCGCCTCGGCCTCTCAGAGTGCTAGGATTACAGGCGTGAGCCACCGCGCCCGGCCCTAACAGAGTTCTTAAGTTGAGTTCTTAACCTGAACTCATTCAGTGGGAAAACCTGACATGGAGGAGCATGAGGCTATATATAGTCTTTATATCCCACCTTAGTGTGAATATTCATATTTTTTTGCCACAGAAAAATGTTTCTTCCCAAGATCTCACTGGGAATGTGATTTAAGGCTTGCAGTCATCTTCAGAATGAATAAGAGCTACTACTGTCTTACCATTAGATACAGAGCCCTGCCTCCTCTTGCCCCTTGGTCATTCTGCTCTGGCCGCATGGCCCTCTTCACTGTTTCTCTCTTCCTCTCAGATACATGCACAACCCTCAGGTCTCAGCCCAGGTGTCACCTTATTAGCAAGGCCTTTCTGACCTCTGTTGTCCAAACAGCACCCTCCCCTGTCACTGTATATCCCCCTTCCCTGCTTTATTTTTTACCTTAGCGCATGTCACCACCCAACATACTATGTGTTTTACTTGTTTGTCTCCTTCCAAGAATATAAACTCTTTTACTCTTTTATCTTCACAGAAGTTTCTCATTTCCTGGACAAGGACTGTTACATGGTGACACTTAGTAACTATTTGTTGGATGGAGGTGTAAGCCTCTTATTTGATCCAGCAAGCATTTATTGAGTATACCTACTATGTACAAGGCCCTTTGATAGATGCTGGGCATAAAACATAAGACGGATTATCTTTGGTTTCAAGGAATCTGTCACCTAGTGAAGGCCTCGGGACATGTATATAAATAAGTAGAGTTCTAATTCAATTTGAACTGTGATAAATGTTATAAATAGAGGTATGTATATGTTCTTCTCATGTAAATTTGAGGTAGAATCAGCCACTTGGGGAAGTTGGGGGATTTGAATTGATTCTTAAAGAAAGATTTCATTCAGAAAGCTGAAAAAAGGCCAACGAGCATTTAAGGTACCAGAAACCACCAGGCGCGTGTACAGTGACATGTGTCTGTAGTCCCAGCTACTTGAGAGGCTGAGGTGGGAGGATCCCCTGAGCCCAGAAGTTCAAGTCCAGCCTGGGAAACATAGTGAGACCTTGTCTTTAAAAAAAGACATCAGAAACCATGTATACAAAGGCATATAGGGCTGAAAACATTTTGTGCTTGAGGAATTGAAAGTGGTTGTGTGTTGTTGGGCTAGAGAAGTAGGAAGGTAGGTTTAGTTAAAACTGAAGAGCCTTCTAATCATACTGAAGAATTTGAACTCTGCCCTTCAAATATTGAGAAACCCCTCAAAATTTAAAGCAGAGACGAGATGTGATCAGAGCTATGCTTTAGAAATATTTCTCAGGAAATACTTGGGTGATGTTCTGGAGGTTAAGAGGGGAATGAGGAGGTTTGAGAAGACACAAGCAAGTTCAGGCCTGAGATGACAAGGGCCAGAATCAAGACACTGGTAGACTGAATGACGAAGGAGGAGGGATCAGATGAGTTATTGGGCAGTGTTGGGGCTTGGTGACCAGTTGGATCGGGGATGAGAGGGAGGGAAAATAAATATATGGGATGATGATTGGGGTTTTCTATCTTATGTGTTAGTGCTGACACATATAGGGAAAGAAGTTGAAGTGGAGTGGATGGTGGATGGGCCTTGGTTTTTGGCTTGTTAAGTTTGAGATGCCTGTGTCACACTAGGTGAAGTCTGCCCCTCGTTTAGACTTATTAGGAGAAGGGGAGAGGTGAAGATAAGATACCTGTGAGTTTGCCTCCAAGTGAATCTGAAGGCATAGGAGTGGATAAGTTTGCTCAGGGTGAGCTTGGGAGATGAGGAAGAGAAAAGGGTCAAAGATAGAGAGAAACCCTGAGAAATGCCAGCATTTAAGGAGCAGGCAGAAGATAAACAGCAGAGGGAGGAGATTCACAAACCAGGGCCAGGAGGTAAAAGAGCTGATCTGTAGTGCAAAGGAAGCACTAACATGCTTTGTTTTTCTCTCCTCCAGGAGAAGATCCGCTGTCCAACATCCCTGTCTGTTAAAGAGAGAAACCTAGCTGAGAACCAGGAGGAGGAGGAGGAAGAGGAGGATATCTTTGATCCCCCAGTAGATCTCTCTTCGGATGAAGAGTATTATATTGAAGAAAGCAGATCTGCCAGGCTTAGAAAGTCAGGCAAGGAGCGCATTGATAACATCAAAAAGGCATTTTCTAAAGAAAACATGCAGAAGACACGCCAGAATTTTGACAAGAAAGTGAACAGAATTAGAACTAGAATAGTGACCCCGGAGAGAAGAGAAAGGCTGAGGCAGTCAGGAGAGAGGCTGAAGCAGTCAGGAGAGAGGCTGAAACAGTCAGGGGAAAGATTTAAGAAATCTATTTCTAATGCTGCTCCTTCAAAGGAAGCCTTTAAGATGCGTAGTCTCAGGAAAGCTAAGGATCGAACTGTGGCTGAAGGTCAGGAAGGTGACAGGGAGATGGGGGTTGACATTATTGCTGGAAGTGATTCTCTGGGCCCCATCAGTGAGCTCTACCCAGATGGGCTCAGCGAACCAGAACACGAGGCGGCCAGGGCGGCGTATCCTCCCCGAGAAGCTGGGGACATCCCCACTCCTGAGCCTTTGAAAGTTACTTTTAAACCTCAGGTGAAAGTAGAAGATGATGAATCTCTTTTGTTGGATTTAAAGCAGTCATCATAAAGAGGAATTAAGTATATCCTAAGTATAAATCTCCTTAATCATGCAGTTTTAGTTTGAATAGTGTAGTCATTTACATTTCTATGCCATATGGGAAAACAGAAATGGTATGGCTGTTTCATTTCTTATATTTAAAATCTTGAAGATAATATAAATATTATATACATTTTCCTGTAACTTCCTGGGGAATTCTTTTTTTCTCCTGGGCATATGTGATTCTAGCAGCTTTTTCTCTGACGTCACTCTTTCTCATGGCAGCTGTGGAATTTTAAGTTCCTTTCTCTTGCCCATCAGACATGTAGTTTCCTAGGTGAGGCCTGTTAGGTGGTTGATCATCCAGAAGAAATAAAGGGCAAATCTGTGGCCATGATTTGCAAGTGAACACTAAAAATATTGGTCTGGATCAATGTTGTGGCCAACCTCAAAGGGGAATTAACTAACATGTGGATTATATCATCCAGATGTTCAAATCAACAGATGTGTTAGTAAGCCAACAGTCACACCCGTTTTGGGATGCTTTTGCATAAAACAATTGAAGTTCTGGACTTGAGCATTTGGCTCTAGCAGCAGAGCTTTACTTATAGTGAAATGCTTGGCAGGTCACCTGCTTATTCTCATCAATAAAACGGAGAGAGCTATCCTGTCCTGCCCATCTCGGAGGACTGTTGTGAAGACCAGAGGAAATGTTTTACATTATGGGGGAACAAGAAGCACACCCAGAGAAAACAGGCCTCAGTAGTTCCTCAAAACTAGAATCAAAATATTCCACCTTCTGAAAAAGCCCTGAGCACTCATCAGTGTGGTCCTTGTTTGGACAGAAAGGAAAGTTTGTCTTCAAAGCATTTTCACAGAATCAGGAGTGAAAAACAAATGTTTGGGTGATGACTTTTTCATCAAAGACTAAAACCGAACCATAGGTTTTAGCTGGGTCTTAAAATGTTCCCTGGCAAACTCTTTTCTAATTTCCTTTTGATTTAGATCTATGGAGGACTGTAGCCACATTTGTTTGAGCAGCATGAGGCGAAAACTGCAGCTTTGATATCCTGTGGCCTTTCTAAAGTCAGCCCTGATGCACTGCATTTGGAAATGCCCTCAAATCTTTCTGTTTTCCAGAGTGAACCCTTTAGGGCCCGATGTCCAAAACAGTGTCTGTAGGAGTTCATCATAGCTGCTTTGGGAGGAAGCCAGGTTCCCACTTCTCTGTTAGCTTTAGATCTGTCCAGTCAGGAAGTAGATATTGCTAAAAAAAGAGATAAATGGTCATACTGGTTTGCCACTTGTGGCATGCTTAAATCTTTTAGTTTTGTAATCGGAAAGAAATGATGGAATTGTTGAATTTGAAGAGTTTGGACAACAGTCAGATCCCACTTTTTTCTCACTTTCAGACCAGTTTTGGATAATCAGGTAGTAGTTAAATATAATAATAAGTATACATATAGACACATGGGTATAGCTTTAGTATATTTGACTCAGTTACTCAGATGTGGGTTTTCGGAGTTTAATTCAGCATCATTTCCTCTTCACCCTGTATGAACACATAAAATTGTAAATCATTCATCTTGTTATCTTATTATATTGAAAATTAAAGTATGTACAACATTGAATAATTTGTTTTAGAAAGAACTTGGATGCCAAACTCACATATTTTCTTAAAGGCCATAATAAATTTCAATTTAAAAAGACATTATTGCAAAGTTTGATGCCAATGTCCTAATTGTAAATATTTTTACTAATAATGAATGCAAACCATGAATAAATATAAAGAAGCTTTTTCTTTTTTCTAGCCCAATGTAGAATAAATATCAATTGGCCTGAAATAGTTTTCTGCAAATATTACTGTCAAAGAATTTTTGTAAAGTCAGTTTGCTTACTAACCCATCATATAATCAGACTTGACATTTTATGGAACATTTCCTATACAGATATATTTGAATTTTGATGAGGAAGGAGTTATAACTTAGTCAGCTCTTCAACCTGGTTGACTTTGTGCAACCCCGGAAACACTAAACAATTTCATGTCCCTGGAAGTTCATTGTAACCTTGTACTCCTTTCTTGGTACTAGTGGGATTTTCCCTCCATGTTGCTTCTGTCTCTTGACATTTCTTCCCATATTTAGGTCATTCCTAAATTCCACATTCATAATTTCTTCTCCTTTCACCTTATTTTCTTATTGTAAACTTAATGAGTTGCAAACATATTGGGTTCACACATCCCATTTAATGTAAAGGGTATTCTAGTCAATGTTCCTTATTTTAAAAGTTTCAGACAACCCAGAACAGATCATTTTACTTATCCGTTTTTTAGAAATTTTGCATATCAGATTTTAAATAATTTATTCAAATGAAACCATTATCAGGATTTGTCCCCTTTCTTCTGCTGAGGCAGGACAGTGGAACATCCATAGATACCAGGGCGTGGAGCCCACTCTCAGGCTCTTCTACAGAATAGATGTAGAGAAGTGCACGTCTGTCTTAGAAAAACAGGGTGGATGTGAAACAATGATAAAGAGCATGAAAATTCAGCTTGCTGACAGTATACTTGTGTGTGTGTGAACTCTCTTGAGTAAGCTTTCATAAATTAAAAATACAAACCAAAATAAAAATAGAAAGAAACCATTTCGAGTTCCTTCTTCACCTTTGATAACACATTAAGGGATTTGGTTTAGAACAAGGCTTGACATTGATGGTGATTCTATTGGCTAAAACGCATGGGTCATGTTCTGTAAAATATTCCACAGAACCGTCGTTAACTGTGCAGTTCTATTACATGAAATAAGGAGGCCTTATTTTCTTCTGTTTTCTATGGCTGCTTTTATTAAACCCTGCTAAGGAAATTACAGAGTATGATCTCCAAATAGGGGGAATGACCACGATGGTCTCATCCTCAATTCTGTTTGAATTTGGGGCATTCTAGTCACTGATCTGTCGTGAATGAAAATGAAAATGCCTTATGCTAGATTTTGTGTGTCATTCTTGTGACCACACCTGAGTTATGTCAGAATTTATGGTTGTCCTTCCCGGGTCAGACTCCATCAGCATATTTCATAAACAGTGGATAGGAGATTCAGGATAACTACTGCTTCACTGTAAGTCTCTCAGGATGTCCACGGATCCTGTGATGGTAAAATACAGTGGGAGAATGTTCTTGTGCTTTGAATTTATTCTGGGCATCTTCCTAAAATCAGCTGTGTTTGTCAAAGGGCCTTTCCCAGACTGCTCTGGCACTTGATGCCTTTGCATATGCTGTATGTCTGTTTGGAGTTCCACCTTTCCCTTTCATTCTGGGAGATGACTTTCAAGTTAAGTGATAATGGCAATTTCCTTGTGTTAGCTTTCCCTGGTCACCTTGTCACCTAGGAGGGGCATGATTCAGTACATACAACACCTTACCAAATTCTGTGAGGCACTGAGGATTCAAAGATGAATAGAAGTTCTCTCCCCTGAATCCCTTACCTCAGGTTCTCAGTGTTCTGGGAGACAGTCAAGCAAAAAAAATTCAGCAATGTGACTCATGCTGTATATAAGATGATGGGACTGTAGAGATGGAAGATGTTTATATAGCATTTTGATCATACATCTGTCCTAGCACTTGGCTCTGCTCTGTAGTTTGTGTAACTGTCTTCTAGACTGTGGTTCTCTAGGGTAGGAACTGTATTTTATGCATCTTTGGGTCACCAGCACTTGGAGAGCTTCCCAAGTTGTATCACAAATCCAGAGATGAAAGATGTGTTCTCTTGAACCTAAGGAACTTTTCCCCTGGTGGAGAAGATCAATGCATCACGCTCAGATTTAAGAAAGGATGATAGGGGAAGATAGAGGAACACTGTCAGGGAAAGCTAGAGGAAGTGTTGCTTAAATTAGCATTTGAAAGGCCAATAAAAAGTCAACTAAATAATATAGAAAGAATTCAAGGCAAGATGCAGCTGGAGAGGTTGTATGGAGTTGTTCTGAGTTTTATGTCAATGGCCAGAGAGTCATTGAGGGGTTTTAAGCTGAGGAGTGCCATGATTATTGTTTTAGAAAGGATGCCCTGTTAACAGACCAGAGGCATAGAGACCAGTCAGTAGGGCCCTTTTTTCCAGGTGAGAGGAGTACCTGAACTAACGCAGCAACTGAGCTGTGGAGGGTGTAAACTTGGACATGGGTGGTGATGAGGAACAAATGATTGCCAGGTTTCTGACTTCAGCAAGTGGCTGCACCAGTCATTGAGATAGGAAATACCAACACCTCCTTGCCTTCCCCGATTCTAAGACAGCACTCTGCTCTCTGTTCCTCTTAGTCTGTTCTGTTCTTCTTAGTCTGTCCTCTGACACCTTGCTTACTAGTCCCTTGGTTACCAGGCCCTGAGGAACAGAAGGGAACTATGCCTGTACTGCAGAAGCTCCCAGGCTAGAGGTCTACCTGTTCCAGCTGTTGAGGTTCTCACCTATGCTTGAAGGAAAGCCTGCTTTGAAGTGATCTTTTCCTGGCTCTAGCAAGCGCCTTGCCCTCTCCACCAGGATGCCAAAGTCTTTGGGAAGCAGAACTGCCCTGCTGGTGTAAGGCCACTGTGAGAGCTTGTCTCCCATCTATATCTTTGTCCAAGCCAGTTTTCTCCTTGTGTGGTCCAAAGAAAAACTACTCTTGATTCTTAGAATGGATTGTCATTTTCTAATATCATTTGTTGTTTGCTCTGAGGATTTCAGCCCATGCTGTGCTTTATTCCAGCTGACACCACAATAAAAGCTGTTGTCACCTGCTGCCTTGGCCAAGGCCAATTGCCCAGGTTCATATAGCTACTCAAACCAGCTGCCATGGTGGCCGCAATAGACTGAAATTTCATCATGGGTTCTTTGGTTTTAAATCTAATCCCTTAGTTTCTGTCACATTAGATCTGAGTCATGGTATTAAAAATGTATTAGGGATTCAAGATGGGCTTAATGCAACTCATTCTTCTTCCCCTCCAAAGTTCTGATGGAGAGTTCATATAAGGATTGCCAGAAAAATGGGGAACACAGTGTCATCTTTGTTACTGGCTGGGCAGATGTTTAAGAAATTCCCTGAACGTAGGGCATCTGGCAAATTCTGTTGGCAAATGTGGGTTACTCTTAAGATAAGAGATGAACACTCCTGTCTCCCTGCAGCCTTCATGCTCTGGTGTGCCAGTAAGATACACAAGGTTTGTGGAGCAGAAGCAGAGTCCATTTTATCAATAGCTAGCAGTGAAGCCCAGAGGCCTGCTCACATTCTCAGGGAGAGCAGTGGGAAAGGAGCGCGTCCCCTCTGTGGTAACCCCCGACTCAAGTGAGCAGGCATCAAGACGAGGCCAGGGCCCCTAGGTTGGAAAACCTACCACACCTGTACGTAGGGTCCTCTTTGAAGCTGCAGCCTGGTTTGGGCTTTTGAGGCCTGATGTGCAGAGTTAAACAGAGCCCCCTGAACTTAGCTGCTACAGGTTGAGCATCCCCTAATCCGAAAATCCAAAATCCCAAGTGCTCCCAAATCTGAAACTTTGAGCATCAACATGACACTCAATGGAAATGCTTATGGGGCATTTGGATTTCAGATTTCCAGATTAGGGATGCTCAACTGGTATAATGCGAATATGTTAAAATCTAAAAAATCCCAAATCTGAAACACTTTTCCCAAACACTTGGTCCCAAGTATTTTAGATGAGGAGTGCTCAACCTGAACTACTTCTGAGGATTGTTTTGGACACACTAAATTGAAGGGTGCTTATCTTCAGTGGATACCAAGTGAGGACCAAGTAGAGGGTGGGCAAGTTGCATATTTCAGATCACAGCCCTGAGAAGAGGGCTAGATAAACATACTCATTAAAGTAGAGGCAAGTGAAATTGTGAGTTTGCATGATAAAACTCAGGCAGTTTGACTTTGAAGGGAAGGAGTGGACAGAGATCTTTTAGTTGCCTATCTTCTAAATTAAGCTACTCTTCTGAACAATTGTTTTTGGGCTCTCATTTCAAAAATTATATTCTCCTGATCAGTCTGTGACTGCTATACTACCTTTGAAAGGGCAAAAATCCTCTATCCTCAAACACCTGGTTTCCACCTTCCTGATGTATTTCACTTTAAGATAAAAGGAACATTACATATTGTTCTGAGCTGAAATCTAGAACTACAAAGAACACCCAAGTCTGAAAAGTTTGGCTCCATTCTCACCGTGAGTCTATTAAGGTATCACTCCTGGCTGAAGTTTGTCCACAGCCTAATATGGTAAAGCTAGGTTATCCTAAAAGTCTCATGGGCCAATATTCCTAACATACCAGGGTCTAATTCTCAACAAACTGTGGTTATATAAATATGTTGTTTTAGGGTAATATAAACTATTGAAATGAGTGTATTACTTTAATAATCTATCCTTGAAGTGGCCACATTTGGACTGTTTCCATAAGAAGAAATAAACAGAATTATGCATGGGATGTTTTTGGTTCTAGTTCAAAGCAACAGAGAAGATTTCAGAGGGAAACATTCATATACTGTCAACTGTCAAGAAATAGGATTAAATATTCTTTAACAGGAGAGAAAATAATAATCCATAGGTTGTAGATTCATGAGGAAGATGTACCAAAATATCCTCTGCTTGAAACTCATGCATCTTTCTCAC